CCTTATGTAGCTGACGCTCAAAGGTCCCTTATTATTGTTTTGTCCTTTTTTGAAGAGTGTTTAATGTATGCTTGAACTTTGTTTTATTTTGTAAAAATGAGTTGTATTTCTGGAAGTCATGTGACCTCTTGCCCCGGATGTTTATATTGTGTTTGGGGGCGGTAAAAGTGTCAACGATGTGATAACGTAATTCTACTCCTGGTCTACTAGGCAAACACGTTTTCACGGTGTTTCATGATTGTGCAAAGAAGAGAATAAACGTGATTGTGGACATCAGTTCGATGCGTAATGTTCTTTCAAGACCAGAGTAGTTACAAGTATAGATGCAAATTTGATTTTTTCTTGTGTTTTAGCACCACATAATGAAGATATCTACAGTATGTGTATAAACAATAATATAATAATATTCATTTCCCAATTTCAATATTCCTGTGATGAGTGTTAATGGAGCAGCTAAAATGTTAAGACTTATCCGACTTGTTACAAATTGGCATCAGGATGTAGTTATTTTGTCATCTTTTTGATCCGTTCATTGCAATTAAATCACAGCAAAACTATTCCTACCTTTGTTTTAAATGATTACAACTGGGGCCTTATCCTTTCAAATCTATAGATCTGTGCAAGATATGTGTATTAAAACTGCAAATGAAATTCAAAGTTTGAAGCATAATCATATGCACAGTTTAAATAAGCCTTTCTGGATCCACCTTTATTATAACTTGCATGTATCTGTGGTCGGTTCCAATCACATTCATAATTGTATGTTACATCTTTCCTTGCCCTTTGTTGAGTTTAAGTGCAATACAATTACAAGATAAAATGGAGAATAGCGTAAAATATTTCTAAAATGGATGCATTTGCAAGAGACAGGGGTCACATGGGGGCAGAAGGAAAAAATGGCCTCTTTGCTAATGACTTCTGTAATTGCATAGTTGCCTAGCAATTTTGAAAGGTACCTCTCTGTTGATTTACTTGAAGTTTTCGCGGATTATGAAGCACCGAGCTCTTAAGCCTGTTTTACTGTGAGAACGATGACTTTTGAACCCAGACAAGAATAAACATCGCCCTCTTTTGATTGAACAAGACTCTTATTCTAAAAACAAAAGAAAAATGGAAGAACAGTCATAAAAAAGGTCATATTGATTTACCTTTTGCAAAGATGACAATTTAATAGTTTTCCTGGTATCATATACAAGATAACTACTCACTAACAACGTGCCATGCTGGATGGAGAGCAGCAATGTTGATTCTGTTTCTGCTGGTTCATCACTAGCCAGCTGAAGTGGCACATTCACTTAAATAGTAATCACAGAGAGGGAGAAGGACCGCGGGGCTCCATACATCACAAGAGGACATGTATGAGGTCCAGAGAGATGGACCCATCAAATGCTGGGAGAAAAATGGAAGATGGGTGGAGCAGATGGCAGTGTGAGTCAGCAGTATGTTTGATAAGGCTGCATTTAAAGGAGGCAGTTTGATAAAATGCAACAGAAATGGAAGTGTCACTATCAAATATCACCCCCAGGGAGTGCCAATTAGATGGATTACAAAATAAGAGGCAGTGGGTAATAGATTTAGAGAACACATTTATAATTAGTTGAGGATTTACAGTACAGCGGGTTAGATCTACCCAAAGAGCAGAGCAAACAGGCGCTGAAATGAGTTTTGAACAAGGAACTCTCAACTCCTGCTGGACTCTAGGGCAACAAAGCCTCTGGGGATCACATTCTTCATACTCTATTAATAAAAGTGATCGGGGGCGTCACTCTCCAGCTTAACCAATCACTTCGCTCTATTCCCAAGAGCCTATCATAGCGCTAGGCTAACCCTTTTAAGTCTGCTCTCCCCCCTCTGACAGCTGTCATTTCAGGTGACTTCATGCAACCCTCATCCACCCCTTTTCACCTCCCGTCCCTTGGAATCCAGGGTCAAGCTAAACCACTCCTCTTCAGACCGACCCAACTATCCATTCACCACCACCAGTGTCTAGACCCCAGGGGGGTTTTATAGGATCAGTTCTACCCTCCCGAATGATGCACAACGGGGCCTAATCGCCAAAATCACCATTACATTAATTTGTGTATCTTTGCAATAAATATGTATTCTTACATCAAAACCGTCTCTCCTGAATGAACTTGTGTCGTGCCACATATTGAGAAGAATACATTTGTTTTTCTCTCCTTTCTTTAGATGTTGATATAGATGAGCGGTGGAATAAATGAATGCGGTATACCCAAGTTTAATTTGAATTAGAGGTGCGTCTGTGATTTTAAGCTACCTTCCCCTTCTGTGTTTGAACTAAGAACACATCTTGTGTAAATACTATGCCCAAGCTCTGTAAATAGGAAACTTATAGTGTTTTTCTTTTCACATTTGAAGTTTCTATTTAGGATTTAGATTGAAGCATCAAATGTCTGTAAATACAGGTGGGTGGCGTGACTCCCTTTGTTTGCAGCAAATCGTTTTTTAACCTCTATATAATGTTTGTTTTTGAGATGGCAGAGGGACAGTAAGTTAAATATGGCACATGCTAACGTTCTGAAGGTCCTACAGGATATCAACAATCCTCAGACTCTACCTCTGATATCAATCAACTAATCGAAATTTAAAAAGAAAACTAAAAATACCAATGTCCCTGTCCTATCTATAGACAGAGCAACACATAATTATGTAATCAATGCCAACAGACCGAAAGTTGAGTAAAACTAAATCAAATTCAGTTAAAGAGTTGGGCCTGCTTTTTATACAGGTTATATATTCTTGGTGTTTTCTGCTATATTTGAATGTAAGACTAAGCACTTCTTCTCATTGTGACATCTCTCCTATTGTTTATTAGATTGTGAGCTCATTTCTATCTCTTATTATATAAATAAAGTAATAAAATCGAAGAGTGAATTTTATAGATATGTTATATTATATATTATATACATATGATACAAGAATGTTGTTTACTTGGAATAATTGAAGTATGTCTGAGGACACTGCTACTGTAGGTCCCACCAGACAGTAACAGATGTGATATCCATCATAATGTTCAGGTGGCGGCTCTGTTGTAGTGTGAAGACATGTTTTGACTATAGAAAAATATTTGCCATCTTAAAAATCAGTAAAATATGCATACCCAGAGAGTCTGAGAGGATGCATTGTCATTGTCATTTCTCCGGCTGACTACTTTGAATAAACCTTCAGTTTGTCAGGTTTCAGATTGGTCTCCAGCTCCCTCGTTCAGTCAATGCTCCAAAAAGAATTCCCATCACACCTACCTTCCTCTTCTTGAATGCTTGTCGTGCCAGGTATCCCCTGCAGGAAGCTTGGAACAGTGTCAGATTACGCTTGGTCTGCTCGTCTCTCTGTTCCTCCAGTTTAGCCAAGGTGCCGGCTCTGAAGAACAGCTAGAACGGAAAAAAACAATACAATCTAATTAACTTATTAGCCAAGGATACAATTATTGAGAGATCATGTGCTGTAATGCTTTTTTAAGCCATGGGGAAATTGGATTTAGAGGCTTTAGTGTGAGGCACAGGAGCAAAACATAAACAGTAATAAAAGTAAATATGTGCAGAGAAGCAGTAAATAAATAAGACGCAGTGTAATCTGTGGACAAGTGAGTGTTATCTAAGTGAGAGGACTGTGATTAAGTTATTATCTGGGAATATCAGACTTGTCTGTTTCTAATCTGGGCCAAAGGTAAAACAAAGGTAAACAGCCGATATAAAGCAGATCACGTCACGGCCTGTCTGTACCTCATAGGGATTAGGCACTGTGAATGCATCCCAGATATGATGGCAGCCAGCTATTACAATGGATGGATGAAGGACTGTCTCCAGCCAAGGTCTCTCCACACAAGTCCTAGTGCCATATAAATAACCAAATCCCAATGTGAGTTGTTAACAAAGCAGAAGCGGGAAATGATGGAGCGGCAAACCAGCAGGGAGGAGTGATGCATTCAATGACACCAGTGAATCCGTCTCATAGCCCTTTCTATGATGCTCATGATACATCATAAACAAATGATTAAAACAACAGGAATTAGAAAACAGTTTGTAAAAAGTTAGTTGTTTATACTGCATTAAAGAAATGTGCATCATAAAAGGGATATTAGTTGACAAAGCAGAAAATGATTGAGCAGCTTTTGCAAGGGAATATACCCTGTGTTTGAGGTAAACACTTTAGCCATTCAACAAAGTAAAGTACGATCCAGTAGAATGTTGTGTTAATTTGTGCCACCGTACTTTGTGCATCTAAGTAGTTCACTTCAGCAGTATGAGGCCAGAATAAATGCATGATACTGTGATATAATAGCATGAAACAGATGAAATGATACTGAAATAAGAACATAATGAAATGTAAAAAGTCTGAATAAAAAAAAAAGTTTTTTTCCAGGACTGTCTGCATTATTGTTAAGGAAGCAGGGAGAAGAAGGGATGAATTCAACACTTTCAAATAATGTAAAATGGTATTTTATTTCGACTATTTCTAATGGCAGGTCCTGTCAAAAGTCCTGAATCCACCGCTGTTATAGATAATATGGATCTGCTGTAATTGGCATGCAAGTGAGACAGGTTGCTAGGATGCTGCTGGAGTGCTTTGTGAAAGGCCAGCTGCGCTTGTCCACTCCTGAGCCCATTTCACACTCCAGAGTATGGCACCATGTGAAGCTGCCTCCAAACCGTGTGTTTTTTTCTAAAAGTGACCTGCACGTATCTCTGAGCACTAGTTCCACTGTTTTCTACATTATTGTTTCCTTTGATTTCCTTTTTCCAGGGCTGATGGCCACTTTCCGGCTAATGGGATTATAGCTCAGTGTGTCAGGCAGTGTTATCTGTGATTACTTTACAACGTGTATGGGGAAAAACAAAGAGGGCCATCAGGTGGGAGAATTTGCTCTAATGACCTGAGATGAAAAAGAATAACGGCAGTAGCACAGTAGTGCCTCTCGGAAGAATGCAAAAAGGGCTAAGGATTGGAAATTCTCCAAAAAAAGGATGACAAACAACCTCAAAGAGAATCAGGTGTAAAGCAAGACAGGCTCCCCCCAGACCGAAAGTGGCTTTTTCAGTAAAGAAAAACAAGGATAAAAAGAGGCCTTGTACTGCAGCTCTATGCTGGAAGATTTAAGAGGAGGGAAACTGGCAGTGATTTACAGCAAAAGGTTTCCTCAATCATCTTAAAGCTGCTTATTTATTTGAGATGTGTTGGCATTACTTACCCTACTGAGACCCATGTGGTAGCTGCTCTTCTCCAAATCCAAGGACTCCAGTAGCTCCTCCACCGCCTGGGTAAAGGCACACATGTACACAAACACACTCTTTAGTCTTTCAACTGCTGGATCCAGTGGGAACCTCTACTGACGCTGCAACACTTCAGCAGTCCACAGTTCCCCTCAGTTGCCATGCTGAACTAATGGTACAGTGCAGCCCCCCCCCCCCTTTTCTTCTCTCTCACATCCATTCCCGGCTGGATTTTGTTTTGAAAGTAAGCACGGGAAAAGTTTGGCTTCTTAGAATCTCCCAACTACTAATTACAACTTGTCCCACAATAATCCCTCATTCCCTGGAATATTCCTCAAAACACACATAATGTCGATACAGAGGTACACTCTCAGCCAGCCTGGAGCCTCTCCCAGTCCGAGTACCGGCCTGTTTACTGTAGGTGTATTGTTGTCTCAGCCTCCCCTCTCCACTTGATCCTCCAGCCGATCTAGATTACACCAGGAGAGGCTTGCCACTAGTACTGAGGGGCTTTTGTTTGCCAGCGTTTCCACAGAAACTGAGCCACAAAACATGGGCACAGGGGGAAAATAGCTTTTCTACCCCCCCGACCCCATTCTTTCACTCTCCCTTTCTTATTTCCCCCTAGAAACAAACTTTTGTATTTTTATTTTGCACTTTAGCTCTGCTTCTCTTGAAGAGGACCAATGCAGAGAACGCTCTAAATGATGGTTCTTCTACAAATACATTCCAACCGATCTTCTTTTAAAGGTTTATACAGAGGTAAAGCACCAGTAATGTTGGAACAATTGGGTAAAACCTTGGCAGCTGGTGTCCAATGTTCAGATTACAAAAGATGATAAGTACATCTACTTGAACGGTATTTTGTAGCTTTGAACGCAGTAAGCACTTTCTGAGCCACACTACCGATCTGCCTCCTTAACAGGCACGATCCCGATAAGGTTAAGTTGATTAGATCACTACAATGGCTCTGATGAATGAGGGTGTATTTCTCTGTCAGTTGGCTGCTGACAAATCAGGGGCAGATGTAATGAAGCTTCCTCTTCACAACATTAATCTTCCCTGCGCTTGGCCACTGGCGGAGCTGTACTCCCGTTGATTGACTCACTCTCCTCTCGTCCTTAACGATGTAATTCCTCCCGAGCTTCTTGGTGAGGTGCGGTGCCAGCACATCAAAGCGTCGGCGAAACTCAGAGAACACCATGTGGTCGGGGTAACCTGTGAAGGTCGGTGCAGAATTACAACGTTAGACTCTTGAAATGTTAGAAGGTCTGTATTTACAGAAGTGGAATGTAATAAAGTACATAACCTGCTCTATCGAAATCAGTCGCATTGACCCGAAGACACATTTTGAGTTGTATACACTGTTGGAAAGAGGAGATTCCTAGCTTTCTAATGATATCAGGATTGTTTTTGTACTCCAAATATTAAGCAAAATATGTCACATTATATAATGACTGTCACCGAGTCATCATTTTGAGAAAAAGGCCTTCAAAGATCTGATTGATTATTAGCGGAGCAAATGATCAAAATACTACGGAGGGAAGATATTTTCGTTTGGATTACTGGTCTGGGAGAAGCTCGCGAGTCTGTGTGTGTATGTATGTGGGTGTGTGGGTTTGTGTATTTTTGCGTTTGTGTGTATTGTGTTTGTTTCCCGGGGAAAACACTCACGAGAAACACCGGCTGTTGTTATGCCTGCTGTGACGTCAACTTACTCCGTTCTCCGCTTGTAATGATGCCGTTACAAGCTTCAAAGTTGTATTTATCGTCTGAATTTGCCGAAACACGTTTAATATTCTGAAAGCCAAGACTTTGTTTATTTGGAATAAGATGAAAACAAACTTTAACGGACCCTGCCGTGTTATCTATGATTACTATACGCTTAAATTCA